GGTAATAATTGTTATTCCATGAGGTCAGACCAGCTTCCCCTAATCACTCTTCCTCATGACTTGATCTCTTCAGATTATCTCCTCAAAATTTTTTGGTTCCTGTATTTAAAATAAAAAAAAATGGCTGAGGCCAGGTGCAGAAGCTCATGCCTGTAATCCCAACAGTTTGGGAAGCCAAGGTGGGTGGATTACCTGAGATCAGGAATTTGAGACCAGCCTGGCCAACATGGCAAAACCCTATCTCTACTAAAAATAAAAACATTAGCCAGATATTGTGGTGGTTGTCTATGATTCCCAGCTACTCTGGAGGTTGCACCCAGGAGGCAGAAGTTGCAGTAAGCTGAGATCATGCCACTGAACTCCAGCCTGGGCAATACAGCACGACTGCATCTCAAAAAAAAAAATGGCCAGGTGTGGTAGCTCACACCTGTAAACCCAACACTTTGGGAAGCCAAGGTGGGCAGATCACTTGAGCCCAGTAGTTTGAGACCAGCCTAGGCAACATGACAAAACCCTGTTCTACAAAAAAAAATTAGTCAGTCATGGTGGTGCGTGCCTGTAGTCCCAGCAACTTGGGAGCTGAGGTGGGAGGGTTACCTAAGCCCAGGAAGTCAAGGCTGCAGTGAGCCATGATTACAACACTGCACTCCAGCCTAGGCAACAGAGCGAGACCCTGTCTTAACAACAACAAAAATTCTTCACTTGTAAACATCAAGAGGAGGTTTAAAAGTGTTTCTGAAGCTTCCAGTTCCCACCTGTTTTTCCTCATGTTTTCCCTTTGTTGACTGAACACATTTGCTTGGATGCTGAATTAGGCAGCTGAATTCTTTGGCATAGTTTTTATCTGTAGCCTGCACTGGCCTCCAGGCAACTTTATACTTTGAGGCAGGGCTCAGCATATACAGTGGCCTTTTTTTGTGATAGTTTTCTTTGAAACGCAGCCACAAGCATTTGTTTATATATAGTTTTTGGTTGCTTTCTCACTACAACAGCAGAGTTGGCTAGACAGGATGACTTACAAACCTAAAGTATGTACTATCTGGCCCTTTAGGAAAAAGCTTTTCGATCTCTGATCTGGAAAAAGGAACCTATTAGTTTGAGGGAGCCAGAATTGGAACAAAAAAAGGAGATGGAGTGTCAAAGAGATTTATCTAGATTGTTTTTGCCTATGCCTGCCTAGTTTACTGGCTGATTATGGGACAAAAATATTTTTGGCTGGTTGGCTCATATTGTGAACTTGGGAAGAAGATACTCTTGTGGACATTAGCAACCCATAGTGCTTAAAACTTAGGTAATGGGATTGTAAATGACAGTATGATTTTTCTTTTAATTTATGAATCCAGTTTAAAATTATTCATTAGCTAGTAAACTACTGATGAGCTGTTATGTTCTCATTTGGTTCCATGGTAGTATTTAAGATTTGGGATTTCATTTAAGCTTTAAGGTGAAACTTCCAAGTATTAAAAATATATATTGTTTTTAGGTAACATAAACTTCCTAGGATCATCAGCAGAGGACTGTTGTGAAATAATAGCTTTTAGACTTTGTACCTGTTCTTTTCCTACAGGGAATATGAAAGGTGAGGTCTATCCATTTGGCATCGTTGGGATGGCCAACAAAGGGGATTGCCTGCAGAAAGGGGAGAGCGTCAAGTTCCAATTGTGTGTCCTAGGCCAAAATGCACAAACTATGGCTTACAACATCACACCCCTGCGTAGGGCCACAGTGGAATGTGTGAAAGATCAGGTAAGTGCCAGCATCTCTGCATCTGAATTTGATCCTTCTATGAGTTGGTAACCAAAACGTTGAAATTTTTTTAGCCAAGGGGAAATCATCAACATTGATTTGTTTTTTATTTCTACTTTAGCTTTTTTTTTCAGTCATTTGAGGTAGCTTAATAAAAACAGAAAACTACACAAAGAAAAAGTGACTATATTAGCAATGCGAAAGTAAGAGTGGTGTTAGTAACTGATATTACACAATGGGAAAAATAAGTTTGGGGTGAGATTTCCAGAATAGAAGGACTAACTATATAGGTTTGTACACTTTTGCTTTGAGCTTCTTTTGCATAAACACAGAAATCATGTTGACAAGTACTGAAAAAACAAGCTTCGGGCAAACAAGCTTAGTCTTATTACTGAGATCTCAGGGAAATTTGAGTTCTCAATGTTTTTCATCAGTACAGGGAATATAGCATTTTGTATGGCTGCTTCATAGAATACTATAACCCAGCTTAATTCTAGAAGAGATCAAACCAATGTATATGTTGAAGTAACAGCTTCCTGATGAGTTTGCTTAATTCAGAAAGCTTAGTTCATAATATATGAAGGAACTTTTATTTGTTTGGGTCAAGTTTATGATAAATGGCACTGATTTCAAAGATACATTTCTTCCCTGACAAGTTTTACCACAGGCAGCTGGATTGCAGTATCAACGTTAATACCATGTTTTATACATCCTTAAGATAATAGGGACAAGCATTGTGCCTCATTCAGAGTGAAGTGTGGCATGTCTTCTCTTTTTTAGCTACTTCCTTTTTTTTTTTTTTTCAGTTTGGCTTCATTAACTATGAAGTAGGAGATAGCAAGAAGCTCTTTTTCCATGTGAAAGAAGTTCAGGATGGCATTGAGCTACAGGCAGGAGATGAGGTGGAGTTCTCAGTGATTCTTAATCAGCGCACTGGCAAGTGCAGCGCCTGTAATGTTTGGCGAGTCTGGTGAGTTTTGTTATTGTGGTTTGATTAGTAACTACCCTGGAGTATCTCGACTTCTGTAGTCTCTGTTCGTCACATTACTTTACTTTTCTTTGCCTTGTTTTATCCTCTCTTCTGCCATTTTTTATTTCTTGATACTTCCTACTTCTAGTCTAATATAAAAAGATTTTGTAGTACATGTTTTTAAAATTTTTTTCCAAATTCCTTTTCTTCCATTAAGTCATTTCTGGTTATATGGTGCTTAAAATTCTAATAGTTTAACCATCCTGACTCATAATGCCACTTTGCTTCATCACCCCCCCACCCCTCACCGCCCACTCCAGAGACAGTCTCACTCTGTTAACCAGGCTGGAGTGCAGTGGCACCATCACAACTCATTGCAACCTCAACCCCCTGGGCCTGAGCAATTTTACCATGTCAGCGTCCCGAGTAGCTGGGACTACAAGCATGCGCCACCACACCCAGCCAATTTTATTTTTTGTAGAGACATGGTCCCTCCCAATTTTATTTTTTTGTAGAGACATGGTCCCTCTGTTTTGCCCAGGCTGATGTCAAAGTTCTGGGCTCAGGTGTTCCTCCTGCCCTGCCCTCTCAAAGTGCTGGGATTGTAGGTGTTAGCTACCACATCTGCTACCTTGTTTTTTAATGCATCTGTGGAACTGGTCAGTCCGATTCCATTCAAGTCTAGGGTCTGCAAATGATTCCTTCCATTCCTATTAAGTTGGAACATTGAGTTGGGGAAAATAATATATAAACAAACTTGTCTGTCTTGTCTTTCCAGCTAGGTAGATGAGGCGAGAGTCCTGTCATTAAAAGTGAGTCATTTGGGCAGTTAGATAGAAAACACACTCCTTTGCAAGTGCTTGCTATCTGCCCACCAAGTGTGGTTTCTTCTCATCTTTTGACTTCATTACAGTGAGGGCCCCAAGGCTGTTGCAGCTCCTCGACCTGATCGGTTGGTCAATCGTTTGAAGAACATCACCCTGGATGATGCCAGTGCTCCTCGCCTAATGGTTCTTCGTCAGCCAAGGGGACCAGATAATTCAATGGTATGAGCCCATACAAGGCTTGTAGGGGAGGCCAAATGATAGACCAACATATAATATGTGGTTCTATTTAAATAATAGGTCAGGAAACTTAAGCAAGGAGACTTCCATATTGCTTATAACTAGTTTAGGACTTTCTACACATTGATTCAGCCCCTAACCTAATGGTTGCTTAAAAGCCCATTTTCTTTTCTTGATACTTTGAAGATAGTTTAGGTAATGGGTCAGAAGGGCTTACTATGGATTTTCTCAAGGAAAGAATTAGTAGTGCATAAGTTGATTAAAAATAACGCTTTTGTAGTTTCATTTGGGAATAGTGAATGTACCGTGATTGTTGTGTACTAAAATCATTAACTGCAGGATTTTTTTTCCCCCCACAGGGGTTTGGTGCAGAAAGAAAGATCCGTCAAGCTGGTGTCATTGACTAACCACATCCACAAAGCACATCATTAATCCACTATGATCAAGTTGGGGGGAATCTGGTGAAGGGTTCTGAATATCTCCCTCTTCATCCCTCCCGAAATCTGGAATACTTATTCTATTGAGCTATTACACCAGTTTTAACACCTTCCTCGTGTTATGTTTAAAAAATAAATAAATAAATTTAAGAAAACCATTTTAAAATAATGCACAGTTGCAGCCTGGAAAACTTAAGGTGGCGCCTTATAGTATCAATTTTAGGAGCTTTATTTGGTGCATTTAACGCAACTGTTAATTGCAAAATCCACTTCGCCTGTGTAAGTGAAAAATATAGACTGTTATATCTTGTTGGCCCTGTGAAATTCTGCACTTGATATTCATTTTATACTCTACCTTCATTAATTACTTCTGGCAAGATGTTCTGCCTTAGCACTCAGTTGCATTCTTTTCCTTTTCCTTCCTGTTCATTATGCTTTAATTCTGAGGACCATATGAGGGTAGAATATATTATCTTTTAAAAATTACAAAAATTTGTATAGGCAAACCATTTCTTAAAGTTAATGGCCAAATTTTGAAATGTTATTTTTCATATCATTTATAATCTTGTCACAATCCACTTAAAGAAGTTTGGTTATATTTCAGTGAAAATTATCTTCCAGAGTAGTATTTTTTTTTCCTGGGATGGGGGGTAACTTTACTACAATAAGTAAGTATGGTGCAGAATTTCATGCAAATGAGGAGTGCCAGCAGTGTGATAATTTAAACATATTTAAACAAAAACAAAAAAAAATGAATGCACAAACTTGCTGCTGCTTAGATCACTGCAGCTTCTAGGACCCAGTTTCTTTTACTGATTTAAAAACAAAACAAAAAAAAATAAAAAAGTTGTGCCTGAAATGAATCTTGTTTTTTTTATAAGTAGCCGCCTGGTTACTGTGTCCTGTGAAATACAGACACTTGACCCTTGGTGTAGCTTCTGTTCAACTTTATATCACGGGAATAGATGGGTCTGATTTCTTGGCCCTCTTCTTGAATTGGCCATATACAGGGTCCCTGGCCAGTGGACTGAAGGCTTTGTCTAAGAAGACAAGGGTCAGCTCAGGGGATGTGGGGGAGGGCTCTTTTATCTTCCCCCTTGTCGTTTGAGGTTTTGATCTCTGGGTAAAGAGGCCGTTTATCTTTGTAAACACAAAACATTTTTGCTTTCTCCAGTTTTCTGTTAATGGCGAAAGAATGGAAGCGAATAAAGTTTTACTGATTTTTGAGACACTAGCACCTAGCGCTTTCATTATTGAAACGTCCCGTGTGGGAGGGGCGGGTCTGGGTGCGGCCTGCCGCGTGACTCCTGGTTCGGAGGCCCACGTGGCCAGGGCGGGGACTCAGGCGCCTGGGGCGCCGACTGATTACGTAGCGGGCGGGGCCGGAAGTGCCGCTCCCTGGTGGGGGCTGTTCATGGCGGTTCCGGGGTCTCCAACATTTTTCCTAGCTGTGGTCCTAAGTCTGTCCAAAGCAGAGGCAGTAGAGCTTGAGGTAAGGTTCTCGCATGCATAGTGTTCGGCTTTGAGTTGTGGAATGTTCAGGCGTTTCGCTGATGCCAGGAATTGAGCAAAATCTTATCATCTGGAGACAAAGGCCTTGGGCGGGGGTCCTTCCATTTGGTGCCTGCGTGGGGAGATCTTTGGAGACGAAGGGAGAATGAAAGGGAGTTACGGCCTGTAGGCTGCCCGCTAGAGCTGAAAAGGCTTACAGGAGTAATAGGAAGGGGGATTTCCATAGCTTAGGCTGAGGGCGGGGCCCAAGGACTTGAAAAATAGCCAAGGGTGGGGGTTGCTGGAAGACTGTACTCCAGAAATGTGAGGCCGATGTTAATTAGTTTGGTGTTTTTGTGTTCCCGAATCACTTTAAGAACCAAATGGAAGGTCACGCTCAGGTTTTTGTTTCCATTGATTATAGAAAGCTTTAAAGTATTGTGACTGTGGCTCGTCAATTAACCCTGATTGCTGGTTTCCAACAGGTTCTTGCTGGTGTGAAATGACTGAGTACAAACTGGTGGTGGTTGGAGCAGGTGGTGTTGGGAAAAGCGCACTGACAATCCAGCTAATCCAGAACCACTTTGTAGATGAATATGATCCCACCATAGAGGTGAGGCCCAGTGGTAGCCCGCTGACCTGACCCTGTCTCTCACTTATCGGATCATCTTTACCCATATTCTTCATTAAAAGAATAAAAGGAGAGAAAGTAAAAAGTTGTTTTGGGTACTGCATTCAGATATGCAATAAGCTTTCCGTGTTTATAGAGAACAGTTCATTTTTATTAGCTGCTGAAGTTTCTAAAACGTTTTCAGTTTTTAAGAGTTACGTAAACTATTGCAAATTCAGTGTTGAGTTCATTCATGAGTTTCTTCGTATATGACATCTCTATTACATGAGAAACACAGGCCATAGTAGCGAGACTGTCTGTATAGGAGATAATAGGATGGAGATAAAGGATTCAGAGATCTGAGTGTTCTTCAATTTTTATTTATTAGCTAGTTGAAGCAGCTGAGACCAGATGATTGGAGTCACAAGAACTTGAGATTTTTAGTCTTTATACCTAGGATTTGGGTCTCTGTTTCCAGTTAATTTACTTGTGTGTTATTAAGCAAATGAATCTCTCTCAGCCTAATTTTCGTCATGTATTAAATTACTATAAACCTGTCCTGTCTACCACTCAGGGATGTTATGGAAAATTAAATATGTTTAAGTTATATATGAATGGTAAAGGACTATGTAATAGTACCTAGGTATTCTCTTGTTACTGTGAGAGTTCATGGTACAAATTGTCTTCAGTAAGTGGCGTCTAAGGCTGTTTAAATAAAGGATTTTGTCATTTTGTTCAGTTTAGAAATGTCTAACTTTAGAGATTATTTTAATTAACACTGGGCCTCCCTACCATCTGGCTGCTAGTGTTTAATTGATGCAAACTAACTCTAATATAGCCACTATAAAAAAAAATTGGTTGCTAATCCTTGGCAAAATCTTTATTTCAGGCTTAACAGCTTTAATATTTTATATTAAATATTTAATATTTTAATAACTTTTAAAAGTATTTTCTGTTTTATTTATTGAGCAATTTACATAAGTAAAATACATAAGTCTTAGGTCTACAGCCCAGTGCTTTTTGCATTTTTATATACTCGTTTGGCCACCACCCAGGTAACAGTATAGAGCACTTCTAATACTCCAGAGTTCTCCAAGTGTGATGACATTATTAAAATACAAATAAAAGGCCTGTTGCCTTAAAACCAAAATGAAAAAATTTTTTATATGATCTATTCATGTCTGTCTTCCTGAGATTAATTATAACTATACTTTGTTTGCAACCTTTAAGAATTTGATCCAGGAATACTTCCCAAAGGTACATCTGCATGAGAAAAAAAAATATTTGGTGTTATAACCTTCTCTGAAACAAAAGGTATTTGTATATTTAGTCATAAACACAAATAATGTATATAGGGCCAGGTTCTAATTGGCAGAGGTTTTGTTTAGATTTCTTAAACAGCACAAATAAAACAGTCCAGTTCCTTGCTTAGTGAAATACACTAGGTTCTTAATCTGTAGCCTGCTGGCTGCAGCAGAGTTGTCATTTGAGTTACCTTGTTTTTTTAATCTTTTCCAGGAACAGAGTAACTATATTTCTTTTCTTCAGGCATATAGAATTTGATGGTTTTGTTGTTGTTGTTGTTGTTTTACCTAGGGTGACATGGGATACTTTTTGTTTGTGATTATATAATAGCAATTTGAGGGACAAACCAGCTAGGCAGAAATGGGCTTGAATAGTTAGAAACATATTTAACCTTGGCAAATACATTGCATTCCTTGTGGCTTTTAAATAAATATTGAACCTCCTTCCCCTCCCGCCCCCTTACTCTCCACACCCCCAGGATTCTTACAGAAAACAGGTGGTAATAGATGGTGAAACCTGTCTGTTGGACATACTGGATACAGCTGGACAAGAAGAGTACAGTGCCATGAGAGACCAATACATGAGGACAGGCGAAGGCTTCCTCTGTGTATTTGCCATCAATAACAGCAAGTCATTTGCGGACATTAACCTCTACAGGTACTAGGAGCATTATTTTCTCTGAAAGGATGATCTTTGTGTTCCGAAGCTTTATAGGGAAATGAGGATACCACACTAGGGAAGATGGAGCTTTTTAATTATGGCAAGAGTTGGTTTTAGGTTGTTTGACATTGAGAATCTAGAGTAATTACTGGAAGTTAATACTGGAATTTATTTTACATAATATACTCTTCCTATAATGTTTAATAATAAGTGAAGCCTGCTATTGGGAACGGTTCGGAACTATAGTTGTTGTAATTAGAGATCACAAAGGAATTTCAGAAAGGAAAACATCTCCAAGAACCATCTTTCAGTATGTAATGGAAAAGATGGGCCAGGCACAGTGGCTCACACATGGAATGTCAGTACTTTCCATGTACTGACAAGTACATGGGGGGGCCAAGGTGGAAGAATCACTTTGAGACCAGGAGTTGGAAACCAGCCTGGACAACAGAGCAAGACCCTGTCCTCTACACAAATAAAAATTAAACAAACTAGTCAGACATGGTGGCAGCTACTCAGGAGGCAGAGGTGGGAGGATCGTGTGAGCTCAGGAGGTCGAGGCATCATCACTCCACCACACTCCAGCCTGGCCAACAGAGCAAGACCCTGTCTCCAAAAAAAAAGAAAAAAAGATGATAGGAAAAAGCAAAAGGCGAATGAATACATAAAAATGAAGCCAAAGCAAAGGAACATAAAGACAGACTTTGTCTATAGAACCATAAAGTTTCAAAGCTAGATTGGACCATAAACATTCTAGTACAATATTCTTATTTTACAGAATCAGAAATAGCTCGGAAGATGGTTTGTTAGGTTTTGGAGTCAGGATTGTTATTAGTAGCAGAGCCAGGACCAAAAACCCAGAGCCCCTTTTTCTTAGCACAGTGTTCTTAAACAGAATGATATAATGGTTATATATAGCAACTCTACCTGGATTGAAGCCTAGCTCTGTTTATTAGTGATGTGACTTTGGGGCTATGTGGCTTTCCTTACCTGTAATATGGAGATAATAATACTACTTCATAGAGTTGTTGTGAAGATTAGAGTTTTAATAAATATGCAGATCATTCAGAATAGTACCTGGCACACAGTAAATGCTACTTAAATGTTCTGCCTAAAGGCTTGAGTCCTGGCTTATTTTCCATCCATGTGAAGATGTCTGCTTTCAAAAAGCAGATTGGTCCAAAACTGAATTCAAATGTTCTTTTCCTAACCTGTTGAACTTCTCATCTTTTCTGTCTAAAAGTAATAGTAATACTTAATAAAGTTCCCACACTTGGCATGCATCTAATAATGTTTGTTGAATTTCTAGAAGTCATTTTTTTCTTACAAGGCATTTATTCATTTTTCTGTGTGCCTTACCTTAAACCAAAGAGTATTTAAAACATCTTATTAAAATGCATATAGTAAAGCAAGATAAAATTAATGAAAAATAGGCTTAAGTGAGACAAAAAATAAGGGTAAAGGAAATAAAACACATTTAGGAGTGAGTATATTCTGCGATTGTGCTTCTATGAAGCTCCAATGACTTTCTAAAGGTGGACTACAAATTTGGTCACTGTTGTGAAAGGGAAGTAGCCAGCTGAAAGACTCAGTATTTGTATGCTGAAAGCAGTCAGTTGATCAGAAGAAGCAGAATTATACTGCTACTAGAAGGAAATTTTCCTATGGATCCTCAAAGAGGCTTGTTTAATGTAAAAATCAGTAGTAACCTAACAGTGGCATGGTCCGGGTACTTAAGGCTGTCTTATTTGTTAATACAGGCTACTGCCATCAGGCACAGCTTTGCAAATAGCCAATAGACTGCAGTTCAGATACCGGACTTAGTGGGTAATCCAAAAGTAGAATATAGAACAATACTGTGCAGTAAGTGGTTATTTACAGTTAATTAAGTAAAATTTAAAAATTAGTTTCTTAACCACCAAATGCCCAGTAGCTACTAGTGGCTACCATGTTGAACAGTACAGATATAGACCATTTCCATTATCACAGAAAGCTCTGTTGGATCATGTTGGTCAAGACAGTCTAAACCAATAGTTTCCCTGCTGTGTGTCTTACATGTCATCAAAGGCAGTGCTGTCAGTCAGGAGTTCTCGATGCTTCGGCCTCCCTTTACTAAGAGTACTTCTTGTGTTTTCTATTTTATAGCTTGGACTTCCAGCTACAGTGTTTTATTTTAGTTTTTCTTTTTTTGAAATGGAGTTTTGCTCTTGCCCAGGCTGGAGTGCAGTAGCTCACCATAACCTCCACCTCCCGGGTTCAAGAGATTCTCCTGCCTCAGCCTCCTGAGGAGCCAGAATTACAGGTGTCCACCATCAGGCCTAGCTAATTTTTTTTTTCTTTTTTTTTATATTTTTGTAGAGATGGGGTTTCACCATGTTGGCCAGGCTGGTCTCGAACTCCTGACCTCAAGTAGTCCCCCTGCCTCAGCCTCCCAGAATGCTGGGATTACAGGCATGAACCACCGCGCCCAGCTTGTTTTAGTTTTTTTGAGACAGAGTCTTGCTCTGTTGCCCAAGCTGGAGTGCAGTGGCATGACACTCTCAGGGCTCAACCTCTCACGGATCAAGGGATCCTCCTACCTCAGCTTCCCGAGCAGCTGGGACCATGGGCACACATACCACTATAGCCAGCTAATTTTTATATTTTTTGTAGAAGCAAGGTTTCACCATGTTGCCCAGGTTGGTCTCAGACTCCTAGGTCAAGCGATCCTCCCACCTCAGCCCCCCAAAGTGCTAAGACTAGGGGAGTCACCATGCCCAGCTTCATGTACAATTTGTTCGAGGAAAATGTTTGAGCACCACCCATATTGAAAAGTGATAGACTGTCTTCCATTAAATACTATCATGCCTAGTTATTTAGCAGTAGTGAGCTTTACTTTTTATACTTCAGACCTTAATTTAAGGAGTGATTTCTAGCTGCCAATTAAATCCAGAGCCTAGTGCTTTGGGAGAATCCAGGAGCCTAACTAGGGCAGGTATCAGGATAAAATACCCATCTACTCCCAGTAGAAGGTGAACTTGTACTTATGGCTTCCTGACGGCTGCTGCATCAAGTCTCAAGCAGGAAAAAGTGAAACTATTAGAAGATAATAGAGCTACATAATATTTGCTAGTTTGCTGTAGCCATTCCTTTCTGAAATCTTGTCTGCCTTCCTGCCTGCCTTCCTGTCTTCCTTCCTTTCTTTCCTTTTCTTTCTTCCCTTTTCTTTTCTTCACTTTCTTTTCTTACTTTTTTTCCTGCTGCCGAGGCTGGAGTGCAGTGGAACAATCATGGCTCACTGCAGCCTTGACCTTTCTGGGTCCAGGTGATCCTCCCACCTCGGTCTCCCAATTAGCTGGGACCATAGGCATGTGCCACCACACTCAGTTAATTTTTATATTTTTTGTAGAGACTGGATTTTGCCATGTTGCCCAGGCTAGTCCAAATCCTGGGTTCAAGCCATCTGCCCTCCTCAGCCTCCCAAAGTGCTGGGATTATAGGAATGAGCCACTTCTCCCAGACTAATCTTGTTTCTTTTATGTTCTGATAACATATCCCTTTTTACAGGGAGCAGATTAAGCGAGTAAAAGACTCGGATGATGTACCTATGGTGCTAGTGGGAAACAAGTGTGATTTGCCAACAAGGACAGTTGATACAAAACAAGCCCACGAACTGGCCAAGAGTTACGGGATTCCATTCATTGAAACCTCAGCCAAAACCAGACAGGTATGGTGTAGCATTCAGCACTTGTGCAAGGGTTTGCTCTAGGCAGAGAACATCAGTTGATTAACTCTGACGGAGATGTGATCCACATTCGTATTCTTTGTTGTTACGCATTTTTTTTCTTTTTTTTTTTTTTAGGCGAGTCTTGGGTTCAAGCGATTCTCCTGCCTTAGCCTCCCAAGTAGCTGGGACTACAGGTGCATACCACCATGCCCGGCTAATTTTGGTATTTTTAGTGGAAACGGGGTTTTACCATGTTGCCCAAGCTGATCTTGAACTCCTGGCCTCAAGCGATCTTCCCACCTGGGGCTCCCAAAGTGCTGGGATTGCAGATGTGGGATTACAGCACCTGGCCTGTTGTTAGGCATGTTTTAATAGTGTTCTTTTTCTGATCACTTGTTTAAACCCAAAATGAACTTAGTAATATTCTAGTATGGCATGTTTACTCCTGCATTAACATCCACAGATATTTCTACTGAAGATCCTTGACTAAAAATATTGATAAACATTAGTTCTTTCTCTGTCAACACCAGCCCCTGTTTAGGGCTAAAGCCTCCTGAATGGAGTCTTTAGATCTGGTAGTTCTGTTCCTTATGTCTCACATTACCCTTTTCCTTTGCCTGAGTGTTTATTTGACAAAATGTGCCATTTTTATATCAGCCTGTTCATGTGATTCAATAGGAACGTGAAATTTAGTGTTCTCTTCCTTAAATCACCATATTTTATTTTATCAGCTATTCATTTAGTAATTGGAATCTTATGTCCACATGAGGAGGTACAAATGCGAGAGAGCTTACACTTTGGATTGTGTCCGTTGAGCAGTCTCTCTCGTTGTTTGTTGTTGTTGTTGTTGTTGTTGTTTTTCATTTGTTCTTTTTATAGGGTGTTGAAGATGCTTTTTACACACTGGTGAGAGAGATACGCCAGTACCGAATGAAAAAACTCAACAGCAGTGATGATGGGACTCAGGGTTGTATGGGATTGCCCTGTGTGGTGATGTAACAAGGTGAGCATATGGCTTTTCGGCGTAATTATAAATCTTAGTATTTGGGCAGTTTGGAGGAGTGTTAGTGTTATTGTCTGTATGTCATTTGAGTTTCTGCCTATGCTCTTCTGCGTATTTTCCTTACGGCACTCTCTGAAAGTACTGAGGTCTAAAGTATGTAAAACATTTAATTATTCTACAGGTATCTTTGTATTTTTGATAACATTAGAAATTATAAGGCATTATGAAATGCGGACTTACCTATTCCTGGCAGTGACCAGGAATTTGAAGGATCGCTACTTTGAGACTAGATAATAATGACATGGTTTTTGTTCCTTTCTTACAGATACTTTTAAAGTTCTATCAGAAAAGAGCCACTTTCAAGGTAGTTTGGAAATGTATCTTATTCCTGTAATTTTGTATACTTGTTTTTCTTATACTCTGAACGTGTCACTTACACAAATTTCATTTTTATTTCAGCTGCACTGACGCCCTGGTCCTGACTTCCCTGGAGGAGAAGTATTCCTGTCGCTATCTTTAGTCTCACAGAGAAGCTCCTGCTACTTCCCCAACTCTCAGTAGTTTAGTACAATATTCTCTATTTGAAAAGTTCTCAGAATAACTACCTCCTCACTTGGCTGTCTGACCAGAGAAATGCACCTCTTGTTACTCCCTGTTACTTTTCTGCCCTGGGTTATTCCATAACACAAACACACTTCTGCCACTGCAGGCATTTCATCTGAAAAGCAGTTCATGTCTGAAACAGAGAACCAAACTGCAAACGTGAAATTCTATTGAAAACAGTGTCTTGAGCTCTAAGGTAGCAACTGCTGGTGATTTTTTTTTCTTTTTACTGTTGAACTTAGAACTATGCTAATTTTTGGAGAAATGTCATAAATTACTGTTTTGCCAAGAATATAGTTATTATTGCTGTTTGTTTTTAATGTTATCGGCTGTATTCTCTAAACTGGCATCTGCTCTAGATTCATAAATACAAAAATGAAACTGAATTTTGAGTCTCTCCTAGTCTTCTCAGATTTCATGTAATTAAATCCAACTTTCACAGTGAAGTGCCTTTTTATAGAAGTGGTTTGTAGACTTCCTTTATAATATTTCAGTGGAATCGATGTCTCAAAAATCTTTATGCATGAAAATGAATGTCTGAGATATGTCTGTGACTTATCTACCATTGAGGGAAAGCTATATCTATATGAGAGCAGATGCCATTTTGTACATGTATAAAGTTGGTTTTCCAGAGCCCTGTTTTGGGGCTTTCCCAGGAGAAAGATGAAACTGAAAGCGTATGAATAATTTCACTTAATTTTTACCTAATCTCCACTGTTTCCATAGGTTACTACCTATAAAATGTATTTGTTTCCTCTAGCTTACTGATAAGCCTAATATTCAATGAATTTCTATTTGTATTCAAATTTGGGTCATACCAGAAAGCTCTTCATTTGCAGGTGTTCAAATATTGTAAAACTTTGGTGCATTGTTATTTAATAGCTGTGACCGGTGATTTTCAAACCTCAAATATAGTGTATTAACAAATTACATTTTCACTGTATATCATGGTATCTTAATGATGTATATAATTGCCCTCAATCCCCTTCTCACCCTACCTTCTGTACCTCCCCCCACAGCAATAGGGGCTTGATTATTGCAGTTGAGTAAAGCACGGTGCTAATGGACCAGGGTCATAGTTTCAAAACTTGAAAACTCCAGTTAGCATCACAGAGAAAGAAATTCTTCTACATTTGCTCATTGCAGCAGTAACTCCAGCTAGTAATTTTGCTGGATGCCTGCAGTTAGTCCTGCAAGGAAAGAAGAGGTCAGTTAGCATAAGCCCTTTACCGTGACTGGAAAACTTGGTATCATGTATTTAAATCTTTTTTTTTTTTTTCTTTTAGCCATGTAGAAACTCTAAATTAAACCGATATTCTCATTTGAGAATGAGGATGTCTCAGCTGAAAAATGTTTTAAATTTTCTTTATTCATAATGTTCTTTGAATGGTTTAAAAACAAGATGTTGATAAATCTGAGCTGATGAGTTTGTTCAAAACAGGAAGTTGAAATTGTTGAGACAGGAATGGAAGATATAATTAATTGATAGTTATGAGGATTTGGAGGTTTGCCATTTTCATTTGCAGATAATACCCTGGTAATTCTCATGAAAAATAGGATTGGATAACTTTTGATAAAAGACTAATTCCAAAATGGCCACTTTGTTCCTGTCTTCTAATATCTAAATGCTTATTGAGGTCCTCCATCTTCTATATTATGAATTTTCATTTATTAAGCAAATGTCATATTACCTTGAAATTCAAAAAAGAAGAAACATATTCTGTGCCCAGAATATAACTTACCTGGAGAGTTGTGCTCCTTACTGCTAATTCTGGGAGCTTTCACAGTACTGTCATTTGTAAACGGAAATTCTACTTTTCTGTTTCTGCTCCTTCTGGGGCAGTGTTACTCTAATTTTCGTAACAGTTTTTTGTTGTTGTTTTTTTTCTGTGACTGGCAGTTTGATTTTTTTTCCTTAAAAACCTTTTAAATTTGATGTCAAATTAGGGAGAAAGATAGTTACTCATCTTGGGCGCTTGTGCCAATAAAGAGCCTTTGTATGTATGTACTTACAGTTTTCTCAAGTATGTTCTAAGCACAGAAGTTTCTAAATGGGGCCAAAATTCAGACTTGAGTATGTTCCTTGAATAGCTTTTTAAGAAGTTACAATTAGCCAGGCACGGTGGCCAGCGCCTGTAGTCCCAGCTACTTGAGAGGCTGAGGCAGGAGAATCGCTTGAACCCGGAAGGTGGAGGTTGCAGTGAACAGAGATCGTGCCACTGCACTCCAGCCTGGGTGACAAAGCGAGACTCGTCAAAAAAAAAAAAAAAAGTTAGACCTAAGTGTGAATTTTGGCATAAAGGAGTGACAAACTTAAAAGCTGAATAACTTCAGTGTGGTGTAAAAAGTAGTTTTTAGGCCATGTTTGTGATTGCTGAAAATAATTCTAGTTTACCTCAAAATCCTTCTCTTTCCCCAAATTAAGTGCCTGGCCAGCTGTCATAAATTACTTGTTCCTTTTGGTTTTTTTAAAGGTTACATGTTCAAGAGTGTGAAAATAAGATGTTCTGTCTAAAGGCTACCATGCCTGGTCTGTAAATGAACCTGTTAAATGCTGTATTTGCTCCAACAGCCTACTATAGAATGTTACTTAAATATAATATCATACTTACTACAGTTTTTACTATAGGAGTGTAATAGGTAAAATGAATATTGTAGTGGGCCCTATGTTTAGTCTTTCACCATCCTTTAAACTGCTGTGAATTTTTTTGTCATGACTTGAAAGCAAGGATAGAGAAACATTTTAGAGCTATCTGGGTTTTTTCCCACTCCGGAAATTGTGAGCATAATCATATTTGCTTTATATTTATAGTCATGAACTAAGCTGGCAGCTACAACCAAGAACCAAAAAATGGTGCATTCTGCTTCTTGTAATTCATCTCTGCTAATAAATTATAAGAAGCAAGGAAAATTAGGGAAAATATTTTATTTGGATGGTTTCTATAAACAAGGGACTATAATTCTTGTACATTATTTTTCATCTTTGCTGTTTCTTTGAGCAGTCTAATGTGCCACACAATTATCTAAGGTATTTGTTTTCTGTAAGAATTGTTTTAAAAGTATTCTTGTTATCAGAGTAGTTGTATTATATTTCAAAATGTAAGATGATTTTTTTTTGAGACTGAGTCTCGCTCTGTCACCCAGGCTGGAGTGCAGTGGCGCAACCTCAGCTCACTGAAACCTCTGCCTCCCAGGTTCAAGCGATTCTCCTGCCTCAGCCTCCTGAGTAGCTGGGATTACAGGCACGTGCCACCACGCCCGGCTAATTTTTGTATTTTTAGTAGACATGGGGTTTCACCATGTTGGTCAGGCTGGTCTCGAACTCCTGACCTTGTGATCCACCCGCCTTGGTCTCCCAAAGTGCTGGGATTACAGGCGTGAGCCACTGTGCCCAGCCAAGATAATTTTTAAAAGCCTGAGTTCTGACCTAAGATGCAATTGTATGAATTCTACTCTGGAGGGAATGGAGGGTGTCAGTGGAAGTGGTAAAACTTTTATTTTTGTGTGCCATTAAATATAAGTAAAAATAATTGTGCAATTCTGCTGTTTAAACAGGAACCATTGGCCTCCTTGGCCCTAAATGGAAGGGCTGATATTTTAAGTTGATTATTTTATTGTAAATTAATCCAATCTAATTCTTTTTAATTTGGTTGAATGTTTTTCTTGTTAAATGATGTTTAAAAAATAAAAACTGGAAGTTCTTGGCTTAGTCATAATTCTTATTTTCACTGAAATACCTTTATAGAATGCTAATATTAATTTCAAACTTTTGGATGTGACATTTAGAAGTGTTGGAGTATCTGAGTTCCTCATTTTATCATATAAAATATATAAAAACCTACTTTAAAGTATTACCTTGGGGGTGATTTCATAGATATTTGTCAGATATGCATACATTAAGATGCCATTGGAGCTCTTTTGTCTTGTTTTTGCATTACTGAACAATCTAGTAATCTTGCTGTAGTTGGAAGCGCATTGAAGCTAGAGACTACAGAACTTGAGGCCCAATATAATTTTACTGGCCCAAAATCTTATAAATTAATTTTACTTCACTTGCAAAATCGGAGAGTTGAATTAGGATCTATCAGATTGCCCAACCTTAAGGAGATTTTAAAAAGAATAATATCATATCTAGGCATTTTCAATTAACTGGAATATTATAATTTTGAAGACCTTGGTTTACTCTACCAAAGACTTATCAAAATTTGTTTTCACTTTTTTTTTCTTAAAAAGGAGGCAGGGAAGGTAGGTCATTAACATGTGGCTGAAGTAAGCTTGGGAAAACCAATTTTAAATGACAAGTAAAGTATTTTTTCTAGTTAGAACGACTAGAAAGTATAAATATTTTAATTGTAAAATGTATATGAAAAACAGAATTATGAACTTTGTATCTTTCAAACTGTCACCTCATATAGAGGCCTAGGTAATAGTTTGGGAGAGAGATACAAAGTCCATAATTCTGTTTTTTTCATATACATTTTACAAAAATTTGTTCTAATATTTGATTCTCTAATTGAAAAGAGGAAGAGATGTTTTCCGATGAGAACTGCTGTTCTGTTCAGCAAAATAAAGCTACAGAAACAAATGATGAGAAGGTACTGTGCATCTCTGTGCTATTAAGGTTTCTGTTCTCATAAGCAATACTCAAGGTCATTGAAAGGCCAACATAGTTGCATGAGTTATTTGATATCCATAAATACATGAGAAGGGGCCAAGAGGCCTTGCTAGTGATCATTTTGCAAAACTGCCTGAGGATGTCCAGCTCCATGACTCAAGAGCATAGAGTTTCCAAATGTCCAGTTTCCAAAAGGGAAGGGTGTGCTTTGTAATGCTTTTAAAATTCACTGGGCAGTGAAATGTGGCCCTTCACCTTAATAGAAAGCTGGAACTTCAGGAACATCCAAAATAGATATAAATACTCTTTCCAGTGGCAAAAGGAACATAAGAGGGTTCAGATTCATGAACCTAGACTTGACCATTATTTGCAGTTGTATTCTACCACATTATTTACTTCAGAGTTGCACCAAGTCTATTAAAAACTACTGGTGTTTCGGGAGTGGAAGTGGGGAATGGAGGGGAGGAATGAACTTAGTCTCTTAACTACTATAAATTCAGATTACCATCAACTTGTAGAAGCCATATGAAGTAAAAATGGGTAGCACCTGCAATATTGTGACTCAACGTTTCTAAAGATAGAGGCAGCTACGTGCCTGATACGGGAGGGTGTGGCTGTAGCTAGCAGTTGTCTACTAGCAGTCTCCTTTATTTGCAGCAGCCTGAAATACCCAGGTCATGAAAAGCAATCTTTCAGAATGGATGCTGCGGACATGGTACAATTGGCGCTATTGATAGTTCCGTAGGAGCTTGAAATGTGTGGATTATAATTAAGTCTGAAAGAAAACTTGCACATGATTTTAAAATATTTTCTTGTAAATCAATTCACATTTACAACAGACCCAACATTCCTGATAGGAATATTTCTGTACATCAATGGTATGAAGTGTAAAGACATGTTGAAAGTTAGATCGAGAGATCTTGTAAGTGTATGCTTGTTTTGCCTGTGAAGTTGAGGAGTTTGACATTTACTGTTAAAGTCCAAAATGAAACTAGTATGGCATATGAAATGAAATTACCAAGACCTGTGTTACTCTAAGAGAACTACATTTGGATCCCCGGTAAGGCATAGCCACAAGCACTAACAAAATGTTTTTGTTACAGTAATTTGGTACATTTTCCTCATGACACCCTCCTAATTTATTTACGCACCTAGTCCCTGTACTGCTCTGGGCATACAGCAGTGATTTTGACAGATACTGGTTCCTTATGAATGTTTTATATTCTACTGGGTCTCCCCAGAAACCTCTAAAACAAAATTTCTTAATTGCAATTTGGTGATTGTTTCAAAGTTGAAGGACAGTGCTTACTCTGACATAACTTGTT